GGGGGGGGGGGGGGGGGGGGGGGGGGGGAGGGGGGGGGGGGGGGGGAGGGGGAGGGGGGGCCGTCAGGGCGCTGTCTGCAGCATCAAGTTCCTCAGGAGTTTCTGGCGGCCCACCTCGTAATCCTCCTCGTCCACATTGACCAGCAGTTTGATGGCTTCGTGGCCCACGGCTTGTTTGAGCGAGTCCGTGATGAAGACGCCCTTGAGGGCCTCCAGCAAGGAGCCGTTGATGTAGTCGCGCCAGAAGGCGTCGAGGTAGGTGAGCTCTGAGAACTTGATGTCGCAGATGATGGAGCCCAAATCCCGGGATTTGAGGATGGTGTTGGCCTGGTTGAAACGCTCGAACTGACGCTCCAGGGGGTCCTGCTTGTTGGAGAAGACGTTGCCCTGAAGCGCCGTCTCGTGCTGGCAGTACTCGGCTCGCACCCGCAGGCGGATGTCTGAGGGGAAGGGGAAGGTGGTGAGAGCTTGAGGAACCCCAAAAAAATCACAGAAGCGCATGGGGTTGGAAGGAGATCACCCAGTCCCACCCCCGGGCAGAGCAGGGGCACCCAGAGCAGGTCCCACAGGATCAAATCCAGGTGGGGTTTGAATGTCTCCAGAGAAGGAGACCCCACCACCTCCCTGGGCAGCCTCTGCCAGGGCTCTGTCATCCTCAAAGTCAACAAGTTCCTCCTCATGTTGAGGTGGAACTTCTTATATTCAAGTTTGTGCCCGTTCCCTCTTGTCCTGTCCCTGGGCACCACTGGGAAAAGCCTGGCCCCATCCTCCTGAAACCCACCCTTGAAGCATTTAGAGGTGTTGATCAGATCCCCCCTCAGCCTTCTCTTCTCCAGACTCAAAAGCCCCAAGTCCCTCAGCCTTTCCTCCCCAGAGAGATGCTCCAGGCCCCTCAGCATCCTCTTTGTAGCCCTTTGCTGTACCCTCTCCAGCAGTTCCCTGTCCTTCTGGAACTGGGGAGCCCAGAACTGGTCCCAGTGCTCCAGCTGGGGCCTCCCCAGGGCAGAGCAGAGGGGCAGGATGACCTCCCTTGAGGTTCTCCATGCTCTTCTTGATGCCCCCCGAGATGCCATTGGCCTCCTTGGCCATTGCTGGCTCCTGGGCATCCTGTTGTCCCCGAGGACTCCCAGGTCTTTCTCCTCAGAGCTGCTCCCCAGCAGGTCACCCCCAACCTCTCCTGGCTCCTGGGCATCCTGTTGTCCCCAAGGACTCTTAGGTCTTTCTCCTCAGAGCTCCTTCCCAACAGGTCACCCCCAACCTGTGCTGGCTCCTGGGCACCCTGTTGTCCACCAAGACTCCCAGGTCTTTCTCCTCAGAGCTGCTCTCCAGGTCACCCCCAACCTGTCCAGGTGCAGGGGGTTATTCCTCCCCAGGTGCAGCACCCGAAACTTGCCTTTATTGAAGTTCATCGGGTTCCTCTCTGCCCCAAAATCCCTCTTTCTCCCCCCAAAACCCCGAGGTGCTCACCACAGGTCTGCTTCTCCTTGGGGTCCGGCGTGGCCGACTTCCTCCTCTTGCGCTGGCTGCCGAGGAGGGTCCTGCCGCGGCCGGGCCGCTTGGTGCAGATCTGGGGTCCCGCGGGGGAGCAGCAGACGACGGGGTGGTGGGGAGGCACTGCACGGGGGGGGGAGGGGACAGTGAGCCCCCCCGCTGCCCCTGGGGACACCTTAGAGGGGCCTCTCCCCATCCCAGGCCCCCCCAAAGCTCTTGGGACCGCTCCGTGTTTGAGCTTCGGCTCCATCCCCGACACCCAGCTCCAGCCCCCCCAATTTCCCACACCGCTGTCACCCCCCAACTGTCCCCCCCACTTTCCCACACTGCTGTCACCCCAAAACTGTCCCCCCCCAATCCTGGGATGCTCACCCCCAAGGATGTCTGGCAGCCCCAAGAGCCCACAAAGGCCCTGAGAGGGGAACCCACAAAGGCCCCAAGAAGGGAACCCCAAATTCCGCTGGGGTTATGGGGAAGGGACATCAAACTCCAGGCTCAAGTGTCCCCCCCAAAACTGTCCACCCCAAAACTGGCAACTGGGGTGGCAGCAGGGCCAGATGTCACCTCAGCAGCCACCAGAACGTCACCCCCAGCCAGAGGTGAGTCCAACAGGAGCAGACGAGGCAGAACCGGGACAATCCCCATGGATTCCTGGGGGCTGATCACCCCGAATCCCGACCGGGGGCAGAGTTGGGGGGGGGGGAAACCCCACACCCACCTGATTTATGGGGGTGGCCGAGCCCGTGCTCCGTCTCGCCGTGGGCTCGGGGCGTCACGTAGCGAATGGACGTCTCCTCCAGGTACTTGTCCACCAGGTCCGGACACACTGGAAGAGAAAGGGGATGTGGGGTCCCTTTGGGGGCAACAGAGGGGACATGGGGTCCCTTGAGGAGGGGACAGAGGGGACACGGGTCCCTTTGGGGGCAACAGAGGGGACACGGGGTCCTCTTTGCAGGAGAACAGAGGGGACACAGGTCCCTTGAGGAGGGGACAGAGGGGACACAGGTCCCTTTGGGGGCAAGAGGGGACGTGGGGTCCTCTTTCCAGCAGAGCAGAGGGGACACGGGTCCCTTGAGGAGAGGACAGAGGGGACACGGGTCCCCTTGGGGGCAACAGAGGGGACACGGGGTCCCTTGAGGAGGGGACAGAGGGGACATGGGGTCCCTTTGGGGGCAACAGAGGGGACATGGGGTCCCTTTGGGGGCAACAGAGGGGACATGGGGTCCCTTTGGGGGCAACAACTGGCAACTGGGGTGGCAGCAGGGCCAGATGTCACCTCAGCAGCCACCAGAACGTCACCCCCAGCCAGAGGTGAGTCCAACAGGAGCAGACGAGGCAGAACCGGGACAATCCCCATGGATTCCTGGGGGCTGATCACCCCGAATCCCGACCGGGGGCAGAGTTGGGGGGGGGGGAAACCCCACACCCACCTGATTTATGGGGGTGGCCGAGCCCGTGCTCCGTCTCGCCGTGGGCTCGGGGCGTCACGTAGCGAATGGACGTCTCCTCCAGGTACTTGTCCACCAGGTCCGGACACACTGGAAGAGAAAGGGGATGTGGGGTCCCTTTGGGGGCAACAGAGGGGACATGGGGTCCCTTGAGGAGGGGACAGAGGGGACATGGGGTCCCTTTGGGGGCAACAGAGGGGACATGGGGTCCCTTGAGGAGGGGACAGAGGGGACACAGGTCCCTTTGGGGGCAAGAGGGGACGTGGGGTCCTCTTTCCAGCAGAGCAGAGGGGACACGGGTCCCTTGAGGAGAGGACAGAGGGGACACGGGTCCCCTTGGGGGCAACAGAGGGGACACGGGGTCCCTTGAGGAGGGGACAGAGGGGACATGGGGTCCCTTTGGGGGCAACAGAGGGGACATGGGGTCCCTTTGGGGGCAACAGAGGGGACATGGGGTCCCTTTGGGGGCAACAGAGGGGACACGGGGTCCCTTGATGAAGGGACAGAGGGGACACAGGGTCCCTTTGGGGGCAACAGAGGGGACACGGGGTCCTCTTTCCAGGAGAACAGAGGGGACATGGGTCCCTTGAAGAGGGGACAGAGGGGACACGGGTCCCTTTCCCAAAATCCCTCTTTCTCCCCCCAAAACCCCGAGGTGCTCACCACAGGTCTGCTTCTCCTTGGGGTCCGGCGTGGCCGACTTCCTCCTCTTGCGCTGGCTGCCGAGGAGGGTCCTGCCGCGGCCGGGCCGCTTGGTGCAGATCTGGGGTCCCGCGGGGGAGCAGCAGACGACGGGGTGGTGGGGAGGCACTGCACCCAGAACAGATGGGACACGGGTCCCTTGAGGAGGGGACATGGGTGCCCTTTCCCTGGAACAGCAGGGATGTGGGTCCCCTTCAGGGGGGAGCCCAGGGCCGATCCCCCCACGACGTGTTTTTGCTGCTCTGCCTCCCCCCCCCCGTTGATCCATCGTCCAGCGGCCGTTCCTCCAGCCCAGCCCCGTTGGAAAAACGTTTGGAGCCAAAGCCCCGGCCCCGGCGCAGGAAAAGGCCGTTCCCATTTGTTCCCATGGATACTCCCACACCCGGAGCAAACACACACAATCCCCTGGGAGAGACCCCGGGCAGCGTTTCCAGCCACGGCTCAGACCAGCCCCGCATCCGTCCCGGGCTCCCCACGGCTCCTGTGGGGCTCAGCAAGGGGCTGGGGGAGCAACGACTCATCCTCATCCTCCTGGGGGGGGGACAGAGGCAGCCCCAGGCCCCTGGGATGGACCCGGCTGCTTGAAATGCTTTAGGATAAACGCCCACACCCAAAGCATCAATCCTTGGTTATTTTACCCCGATTTGGCGGATCCAAGGCGCTGGCAGGACGCAGGGGGTTTGAGGGGAGTCGAGCTGCTGAGCAGAAGCAGCCGCTGAGCGAAGATTAGGAGTGAAAAGAGCTGCTTTTGAGGCCTGGGATGGTTTTTGTGCATTGTTTTTGTGCCGTTTGTGAGCTCAGGGCACTGCTGGGGCTTGGGGACCCCCCCCGTCCCTAAACCGGCCCCAACTGTGGCTCTCCCCAGCCCCCACCACCTTCCCCCAGCCAGTCCTGGCTTCAGCGAGTTCAAAAAGGACAGGTTTTCGCTCCTTTTTAGAGCCAGGAATAAAAATGAGGCAGGAGGAGACGAGTCCCGGTCACGGCGGGGTCTGGAGGGACACGGGGAGCAGGAACCAGCAGCAGCTCGTTGGGTCCAGAGGAGCCTCCCCCCAACCTGATCCACCCCCCTCCAAACGCCAAGGGCTGCGGGGTACAAACCACCTGCCTTTCCTAAACCCTTCTGAAACGCTCGTTTGGCACATTTAATTAAACCATTTCCACCCCAGCATGGCTGGAGAGGCAGCAGGAGGGAGATCTCAAGGGTGCAGAGCGTTGCTCCTCGCACGATGTCTTCCCCAACTCGCCCCGGCCCCAAGAGGAGCGGGGTCCCCCCAAAACCAATGGCACGTCCAGTGGGGCACCCACTGGCTCCCCGAGACCCTCCTGGCTCCTTCTTGCTCCCCGGCACGGCCTGAGGCTGCTCATGGCATCTCCTGGGGCTCCGGGCCCAAAGGAGCATCTCCCCAAAACATAGGGATGAGCAGCAGGAGCTTGGAGAGCTGGGGGGCACCGGGCCCAGGAGAGCCGGGGGGACACTCTGAGACTCAGAGAGCTGGGGGGCACCGAGCCCAGGAGAGCTGGGGGGACACTCTGAGCCCCAGGGAGCTGGGGGGCACCAAGCCTGGGGAGCCTTGGGGGGCTCCGAGCCCTGGGGAACCCAGAAGCCAGAGAGCAGCAGGAACCCTAGTTCATGGCCGCTAAAGGAAGGAGACCTCAGACCTTGCCGGAAACAAAATAAGGCTTTAACCCCCCAAAACCACTCGTGGGAGTTGCTAAAATTCCTACAAAACACCTTTTTGCCTTCTCTGCCCTCATTTCCCCCCTCTCCCAGCAGCCCTTTGTCCTCACATCCCTCCGATTCCTTTCCCCACCGCATCCCGCAGGGCGTGGGCGAGGAGGACACGGCGGGTAACGAAGCCGGGCTCGTTAACGAGCGGGGCCCAGGCGCCCACTTACCGGCCCGTCGCCTCTTGAGGGTGACGTAGGGCAGCAGGTCGTGGCGGGTGATGATGCGCAGCAGCTGCAGCACCTGTCGGAAGTTGGTCTCGTCGCAGCGGCCCTGCCGCTCCAGCGCCAGCAAGAAGTCCCTGCCGCTGCGGATCATGCCCCGCTCGTAGTCGTCGATGACGTCCACGAAGAGGAAGGAGAGGACCCGCACGTCCCGGTGGGTGAGGTGGGTGCCCACGATGTCGAACATGCGGTGCAGGCTGTACAGCCCGTGCTCACGGTCACCCTGCTCCTCCGGCCAGGCCTGCGCCCGGCTCCGCTTGAAGGCGGCCATGCCGTGCCGCGCCGTGCCGGGGGGCTCCGCGCCGCGACCCTGCGGGTGAAGAATCATAGAATTAATCATAGAATCATAGAATTGCCCAGGCCAATTGAAGGGACCTCCAAAGGCCATCTAGTCCCACCCCCCTGCAGTCAGCAGGGACACCCCCAACTAGACCAGGTTGCCCAGGGCCTCATCAGGCCTCACTAGGCCTCACCTTGAATATCTCCAGGGAAGGGGCCTCAACCACCTCCCTGGGCAACCTGTTCCAGTGCTCCACCACCCTCCCAGTGAAGAACCCTCTCCTCATCTCCAGTCTAAATCTGTTCCCCTCCAGCTTGAAGCCATTGCCCCTTGTCCTGTCACTGCAGGCCTTTCTAAACAGGTTCTCCCCAGCCTTCCTGTAGCCCCCCTTCAGGTACTGGAAGGCTGCTATTAGGTCTCCCCGGAGCCTCCTCTTCTCCAGGCTGAACAACCCCAGCTCCCTCAGCCTGTCCTCGTAGCAGAGGTGCTCCATCCCCCTGATCATCCTTGTGGCCCTCCTCTGGACCCTCTCCATCAGGTCCATGTCCTTCTTCTATTGAGGGCTCCAGACCTGCACACAACACTCCAGGTGAGGTCTCACCAGAGCAGAGCAAAGTGGCAGAATCCCCTCTCTGGACCTGCTGGCAACGCAGCTTTTGATGCAGCCCAGGATGGGATTGACCTTCTGGGCTGCAGCTGCCCACTGCCTGCTCATGTCCAGCTTCTCCTCCACCAGCACCCCCAAGTCCCTTTCCTCAGGGCTGCTTTCCAATCCCTCACCCCCCAGTTTGTATTGGTGGCCAGGATTGTTCCGGCCCAGGTGCAGAACCTTGCATTTGCTCTTGTTGAACCTCATGAGGTTCACCTGGGCCCACCTCTCCAGCCTGGCCAGGTCCTTTTGGATGACATCCCGTCCCTCTGGTGTATCGACAACACCACACAGCCTGGGGGGCAACAGGCTTTAATCAACCCCTTCCCCATCCACACTTGGTGAAAAAAACCCCTCTCCACATCCCTCTGCCACATCCCCAGCCTGGTGGCGGCTCGTCCTCTCCTCTGCCAGAGCATCCCACACCAAAAAGAGAGGATTTGGTACCAAATTGATGACACTGGACTCTGGCAGCACCAAGGGGGGGTCTCTGCCACCATAACTCACCACCCAACCACTGGAAGAGACCCCTATGAGCTCCAGGACTCCATGACCAACATCCCCCCCCACCCCAGCCGGCACTAACGGCACGAAGCCACCGGTACGGCGCCGAAACACGGAGGGAGAAGGGAAGGAGCCGGCGGGCAGGCCCCGACCTGCTGGGCTACTAAAGCCAGAGGGGAGCTAGCCTCGTCAGACTGGCTCTGGCAGCCAACCCGGGGCTCGCCCTCCCCGGCCCAACAGGTTTCTCACCCGGTTACGGGCCCCCCCCAGGGATGTTCCCCACCTCCGTGTCCCCCCCAGAGAACCACACACCCCACTGGAAAAGAGGGGGGGGCCCGTGGGGATGGTGGCCCTTGTCCAGCCTCTGTTGGGGTCAAGCATTGTCACAGCAAAGTGGGTGACATTGTGTCCCCACACCTGGGGGTGGCACCGTGACACCGTGCACAGTGGTGGTGACACACACCAGGCACCGGTGACGAGCCGGTCGCTCGGGGCAGGTTGGCAGTGGGTTGGGGGGTACCACAGGGCCCACGGAGCCAGCTGGGGGGGCTGCACTGAGCTGGGGGGGCTGCACTGAGCTGGGGGCACCCCCAAAGCGCGCTGGGGTGGTGACACACACCAGGCACTGGTGACGAGCCGGTCGCTCGGGGCAGGTTGGCAGTGGGTTGGGGGGTACCACAGGGCCCACGGAGCCAGCTGGGGGGGCTGCACTGAGCTGGGGGGGCTGCACTGAGCTGGGGGCACCCCCAAAGCGCGCTGAAGTGCCCCCAGTGTCTCCGTGTCCTGGCCTGAGGACCTGAACCACGACACGGGCTCGGGGCTGGTGGCACAAGGGCACCAGGCACCGCCTCGGTGGGTCACACCATCGTGGCACCACTTTTATACCCCAAAAAGGTGACCCTCGTTATTTTAAGCAGCTCAGGAGCCTGCTTTCCCCGTGGGATGCCGGGCCAGGAGACAGGAGAGCAGGGAGTCCCAGTCTGGAGCCACCCCCGTGGTTTTCCAGGCAGGATCCAGCCCTGGGGCTGGTGGCTCCGCTCCGTGGACTCGGTGGCCGTGGCTCCCGCTGGCCCGGCCGTGGGGCTCCAGCAGCGGCTCCGCTTGGATACGGTTCCCAAAACAGCGAGAGGCTCCGGCCGGAGCCTCCGCTCCGTTCCCGGCACGGCCCTGACTCAGGCGCTGGCAGCGGGGCCCGGCGGGAGGGATTTAATTCCTATCGTAAAACGCAAAGAGCTTAAAACAAAAAACCCCCAAAAAAAATCTTAAAAAACATGTGGAGTGATGGCCGCTCTGGAAACAGCCTGACCCGACCCTAAACTGCTCCAGCTGGGGGGGAGAGGGCAAGGTTCCCCCCAAAGCAGCTTCTGGTGAAGGTAATTCTTGGTACAAACAGCCCGTAGCAGGAGAGAGGGGGCAAAAATGAGGATAAAACACCCCAGTTCCTCTCCAAGGCCCCGCCCCCCCAGGCCCAGGAGGAGCCAGACCAGCCCCACCAAGCAGCCGGAGGGTCCTGGGCC